ACACCGGTATAAAAGACTAAGATACGCTGGAGGAACTGTGTATATCTGTACAAACAAAGCTGATATTATTAGTAATATACAACTACGATGATCAAGTAGGATAAAAGATTGACTAAAATGCTACACCCACGTGCTGAACCGTCTCCTGTTGCTGCCGACCGAACAACCCGGATGTCAGTGTCAGTGAGCTAAGAGTTCAGCAACTCCAGACTGCGCCAATCGCTCTATTTGGCTACAATATGCTAGTTACTTTGGATAGCGTACAACATGAATCATCTAGCGCCATCTCCTCAGTTCCAGTACACATAAGAGTTTCTTGGGACTCATGTACGTAGAATGTGATGAGTTTTGCAAATCGAAAGCTGGCTTGGTAGCTCACCGTCGAGTTCACGTCCATGAAAGTGTTGGCACAAATTGGTCACAATTAATCTGCACTAAGTATTCTCGTTGTTCTCTAACGAAGACTTGTCCACACCGTCGACAAGCACACCTTACTCAGCCCAATGCAGATAAGCTTGACCAAGTGCGGAATTCCGATGTCCGCTGGTTCCAACAAGAGTCACAATCACTCTTGCGAATGGCTAAGATTCCGTATCTGTCTTCTGACGCTGTTGGTGATATTGGAGTAATCAGCTGTTGGCTATCAGCATCCAAACCAGGTTACGGATGTTTAACTGGCAAGCACATTTGAACGAACCGTCATCTGGTGAAATTCCACGCCGATAGTTCGCATTTTAGTGTGAACCTTCTGGCATTTGCCCGAGAGTTGCAGTCTGGCATGATGATATGGAGTAAGTCCTGTCACTTCTGGACCTTCCGAGACGTTTCCATCCACGGGGGATCCTGTCTATCAACGCCATCGTCAGCTAGCCGGCCGTGCTCCGGCCGACCGAAAGCAGATCCTCCGAGTAACCCACTCCGCCGTTCATACCCTATACTGGCAACGACGGAACGATAAAGCATCTACTGTGCTAGATGGGTGAAAAAAGAATTTGTACAAAGGTAACAGCAGCCTGCCTGTGGACGCCAAGCAGCAGTGGAAACAGATGCTATCTGTTCCAAAGCACGTGACCGAATTGCGTAGTGCCACCATCCGATCGGAGTTTGATCGAGACAACTACAGGTAAGAAACTCGGCCATACGATCCGTTAAATGAGCGATTCCTCCCCAGGCCTGGACAAATCCACGTCCATGACGGTTCATTGTCGACACCCTTGCTGGGTATTTCAACTTTCGTTAGCTGAGGGTTGTCCAACGCATCTGTGCCGTGCTCATATTATCCTAATTCCAAAGTTCCATGAGCCGACTCCACTGGGCCAACTGAGACCGATCTCCATGCAAACAATTCTTGTTCGATGCTTTCATAAGGTGCTTACCGATCGCTGAAGCCGTAGATAGCAACTACCTTCACTCCAGTTTTCATTTCCACACCGAGACGTTTGCTTGGAAGTTACATCGCTTTTACATCCCTGTCTACTACTGATCAGCGACTGCTTCTAACCTCAGCATGGCGTTTGTTGATATCCAGAAGGATTTCATTTGGTCTCGCAAGACACAAATGTCAGATCTATCGAGGTGTTTGGAGCACCGTCACCCCTAGCTTGATACATCACACAGTCCTATGAGAATGCTTTAGCAGTTTTCTGCAGCAGGTCCACTGCTACAGAGGTGTGAGGGAGAGAGATCCATTCTTCCCAATATTGTTCATCACGGCAATGAGTGAGGTTATTGCATCGTCTATGCGGCAACTAGAATACCAGTTTCATGACACCTTAGTGGATGGCTTTGCCCTTGCTGGCGACTTGGTCGTGTGTGCAGAAAGTCAGGCTCACCTTAAAGAGAAACCTGAAGTTGCTGCGGTCTAGTTGGGAAGAGCTGAATTGAAGATCAACGCCCGAAAGATGAAAGCAATAGTGATTTGTGGAAACAGTAAACATCGGGCGACAGCGTTCTCACGTGAACCTTTTTGCTTTGTGGAGAAACTCATCAATCCTTTGGGTCCGACAGACACTGTGACATATCTGGCAATTCCCTTTACTCCCAAGGTGAAAGGAGTCTGCAACCACCGAGAGCAGGTGCTCAGACTGCTTGATGACCGAAGAATGGTGATCACAAGGAATTGCCTGATGACGAGGCTGAGATACTCGTTCGTCCTCGACCAAGTCCACTGAAACTGATAATTACATCAGACAAACTATTCTTGATCGGTTACATCTACTGAAGGACACCCCGATCAGCCGCATCTATACCGGCAAATTTGTTTGCAAATGAGTGTATTTGTCGCAAATGGTTCATTTCGGGTTCATGTAAAACAAGGTTGACGGAAACTCGAGGAATGTGCCCATTTTATGAGCCTCAAAAAGGGCAAAACCGGTCGTGAGCTGTCGAAGAATTTTCAGGATTTAACAATGCTTGTCCTTTCTTTAGTTTCTGGTCTTTTCACGCGTGTTTCCATACCAAACATTCTTACATACGTCGAGTTCATCTTGTCTGACTGGAACTGTTAACGGGACACCTCTGAATGGGACAAATCTGTCGTTTTATCTGATATTTTGTTGTACACCTTTCCATATCTATCACTTGTATTTCTTTCTCTTATTTGTGCCCATGCCCCAGTTAGCTAAGGGGGAAGAATGATATTGATTATGGTCTGGTTTGGTTCCACGTCATTTCTTCTGATGATCTTGCTTTACTGATAATCGCACACCGTAACGTGTCAACTCGGCCAACCTAATACCTCTTTCCGTATGCTGCCAGCCCTACATCCACTGTTCCGTTCACACTGAGGCGCTTATATATATATATTCGTCACTTATGCAATCAACCATTGTCGTAGTCTCCGTCCTAAATATTCCACATTTTCCAAATCCATCCTCAGTTATGTGCCTGGTTCGTGTCCTGCAGTCGTTTGGTCTCTAATCAAAGCCCGGTAGTCATCCGCATTTCTCATGGGTTTGGTCGTTCTTTCACTGCGCTCATTAATACTGGTGTTTAGTAAGCTGACTATTTGACCCGAATCAGTAGTTAACCTTTAACACCACTCGGGCCATTGCATAAGTGCCAGTGTGGACATTTGTATGCTGCTACATTTAAGACCATGCAGGTGGTGGAGACACCAAGTGAGTAAGATTTGTAGAAGAGCTCATATTGTGGTGGCATGAAAAGGTTTTACACTAGACTTCCTCACAAAAGCGTATGGCTGGACGCCTAATCTTATCCGGGTAGGGGTTATCTGCGTCGAAGCTATACCGAACTGTCCACTCTAAAGAGTATATTTTGGAAAAGCGAGATGTGCCCTTCGATCCTCGAGGTATTTCCTCTTGAAAAAAAATCAACATGCAAATTATTAGATTATTAATAAGATAGGAGACTGGAAACTGTTCAGGGGCAAACGTGATAGTTTATTTCAAACTGATCTTGAATGCCCGTCCTTCACTTAGGGCCAACCCTTCCATCTGTCAAAAGTGCATTAAAACGTTTTATCCACTGGTGCCTGGTTTCATGCGCAGACACTTGTGTTTAAGAGCATACTACAAGAATCAGTTTGCGGTACGTACAATCCATTTTTGGATGTGATAAATATATTATCCTAGTTTCACAACTGTGCATAATAGTGATGCATATAAAGAAGGGGACAGCTGCTGTAAACGGGATCAAGGTGAAACGGGCAACCCTACCAAGCTGACCTGATTATTAATCAGGCCCACAGTAGGGATGTACCAAGTAAACTGCTAGGTGACAGACTTCATCACCTCTAACCTACACAGGTACAATCCTCCCTTGTCTAACCACTTTCCATGTAACGACTCCCTCGGGTGAGACTCTGTGGCTCTGCGCACTAATACCAATGAAGCTCCAGCAAGACAGAATTTAGTCGGATTTTTTCGAGTTCATAGTATAGAAGAGATACTTCAATTCGTGAGGTACACTCGAGTATGAATTGATTTGCTTTCATCTGACAACAGCGTGTGGCTCTGACGGACCGCCAGGAAGAGAGGCTCTTCGGTTAGAGAGGCCCTCGGTCGGGACGGGTGGATTTATTGTAGTGACGCACTCCCGTCACCCAAGCAGCAGCATTCTAGATCACATGCAGGAAATAGCCAAAATCAAGGGGCCTCCTACGGACTCCGGCTGAAAACGAGGTTTATTTGTTCGCATCTGTTTCCGCACTTGATTGACAAAAATGGGGCTGTGTAGCCAGGGTGTGGAAAACAACAGCGCCACCAACACTGCTCTGTGAAATAATGCAGTCAAATCTATTAGGATACGGGTTTACGGCTGCTTAGATCAATAACAGCACAGTCACACGACAAATTCCTCCCCGAGAAAATCTTGATGGATATCAACATATGAGGTTAATTAGAGTCAACGTTGTAGCCAGATCGCACAGCCCAGATTACGAACGAAATTAACTGCTATGAGCTACTGATGAAGAGATTGCGTCTTGAAGGTGTACACCTGATTTTCCAACCCAGTGTACCATGTATACGGAAAACGAACCCCTCTTTTCTACTGTACCAAAAAACTTGGTTTTCACAATCCATTTTTCCGCAGATAATCCGGGGAGAAGCTCCGTGGACTGGACTGTATTATTGCGTCTTCTGAAACAATTCTTACTTACTTACTTGCTTATTTAGTTACTTACTTACTTACTTACTTACTTACTTACTTACTTACTTACTTACTTACTTACTTACTTACTTACTTACTTACTTACTTACTTACTTCAAATAAGAGTAGTACGCCACATAAGTGCAGTCATTTTTCGTCATCTCGCCACATGATGGAACATTATTCATTATAAGCCATCTATAAAATTTCCATTAAGTATCTCAACAGGAGGTGGAGTGCTGTGTAGAAAAACCATTTGGAGTATAACTTTCTGGAGGTATTTGAATCTGTCCTTTCAGGAAACTAGTGACACATTCCGAAATTTCTGTTAGTTCGAGTCACTCCACCCATCACTTTGACTGGGTTTCCCGAAAACACATGATGTCTGGTGGTTTCGAAGCGAGTCTCTTTTAAATAGAGCGCGTGTGCGAACAATAAAGGGCATTTCAAAAACTAAACAAATGAACGAGGTTAAAAATGATCAGGGATTGTATGTGTGTATGTGTGAGAGAGAGGAGTCAGATCACTGTGTTGTTCAAATGCATCTCACCTTGGAGTTTCTGCGTACCATACTACCTTCTGTAGAATGTAGCACCGCACCAAAGACCATGCAAGATTTTCTGTATGAGTTATCAATAGTCATAATGATAATTCGAGTGTAAGGAGCATAAAGTTGGATTGTGCCGACGTTTCTCTTGAACCAGGATTATGTGGTAAACGTTCCAGTGTCCACATGTGCATTGTCAGTTCAAATTGGTGGCTGTTTGGAACAAGAGGTTAGTTGGTGCAGCCAAACCGGAAACATGTGAATTTGAGGCTCCAATGCAGGGATCTCCGCGGGCTGGTAACTGTGGTCTAGAAGTAGTCGGCAACGGAGGTGGTACTGGCGATTCTTCGCTCAGTGTGTCTGACATATGGGGTTCGATTGTCGACCCAACTTTTGCCTGACTATAATATCCGGGAGTGGTGGCGCTGGAGTGTTGATTTTCAACACCGTTGGTGTGTGAGATGGTTTCAATCACGCAGGGTTCAATTGGGTAGTTGAGCTGAGTCCATCCATCAATCGGTGGATGCTTCTCTGTTGAACGATAGTGATACACAGCGTAGGGGTGTGAGTTGAGGGAATAAACAGGTGTCTCCTTAGATCGAGTATGTAATCGGACATTTTGTCGTTGGTCCGCGGGCAGAAAGTCGAATTTCATACTCGAGGGGATTTCCCCACTAGATTTCGTAAAGTGTAGACCTTTTTTCACTGCTGAACGAACCCTAGTAAATAAACGTGTCCATGGTTTACAACCCTTAACTGACCAAGTCCAAAGGCTACAAGTAATACCGGGTACAAGGGACATGAATATTCTAAGCATGAATATATCTGGATTGGGTCCAACAACCTCCTCGGACTTCCACATTTTGGGAGGGAAAGACAATGTTGAAGTTGAATCAATCGGTTTGTGTTCCGTGTCTCTAAGCCAAAGATCTCTACACAAATACTCATACAGGTCACACATAGTTACGCACAAAGCCGGGAGTAGATAGAGGAGACAGAAAAGTCCTATCCGCCGTTCGAGTGGGTCTGAAGAGAGGCAATAGTGTTCGGACTTGTGTGCGAGGTATCCAACTGCAACACTTTCGATGCGTTTGTTAGACTCTGAACGCGGAATTTCACGTTTAGCAGAACATGACTGTTGTTTGGACGACGCGGCACCTCCGTTGTTGGTGTCACGCAGTAGGCGACTGTTGTCGGTAATCTGAAATTCGCCGCCTCCTATTGTTCCTGCACCTCCTGTGGCCCCATAAGCGGTGGACGGGTTGCGCACAGTGCCAGAGTCCGGCCGGTTCCGTAAACGTCTAAGTCGCCTACGGAATAGGCCAAACAGCAAACCGACTGACAAAGAAATCAGTCCAGCAGTTGTCACAATCGTTTCCGGACCCACCACAAAGACGCCCAATGCACGCGTGTTTTGGCGGCCAACACTGCATATTGGGATCAGTTCATCAGCGTCCACCTGCGGCCAAATGTAGATTAAAAAATGGAGTTAAAACCATGACAGACGCACGGCTGACACTATACTCAACACAATCAAACTTCTTACGTGATCTCAATAAGTTGATCTGTTTTTATGAAAGACGTGTTTGCATCACTTGATTCTCCTTGAAAACGCGTGATTATGATTTTCATAGTGGTAGAAAATCCATTACAGCATTTATTTTTTGCAGTCCACTTGGAAAATAATAAAAGGAGTCAGCTATGCGACAACTAATGAAATTACATCTGGCTTGGAAAATGATACTAGAATCCCATTCAGCAGTTCTAACAACATACTCATGGAAGTTTTATTTGCTGTTGCTAGTCAAATGCTGATGAATTCAAAAGAAAATTGTCGCAGGCACTAGATTCTTACCAGAATGATCGCGTCTCGGCAAAAACCAACATGTTTTAGACAAGTTTGGTTTAAAATTTCGACAATTTCGTTTTGTCATATTGTGGAGTCCGTTCATGAAAATTTAGGAAAGTTTACTAGAGACCGAACTTGTTTACGAAATTAGGCAGCATTAGGTAGAAAAATTTATTTGGTCTCTCAAATTGCTCAGTAAAGCGAATCCTTTTAAGCCCACTTTAAGCAAAATATGCTTGTAGATGGATTATTTAAACGACACCTTGGTTGTTGTCCGATTCCCACCTGACAAGCCGACCCGCATGAGACAGTTATAGCAAGTCCCTTTTTGAGCTTGAAGGGAGAGGATAGTAGACAAGCTCTTTTCTACTGAACAAATGTTTTCTTGCTTTAATAGCCGTAGGACTCGTAGCGTATGTAGGTACCATTTCCATACATGGGCTTTCCTGAAAGGATCGAAAGCGATTCGAGTTCCCAATTCGTTATCTGAGCATGTATTAACAGTTATTTGTCAACGTTCTATGCCTATGACTAAAACAAATCCTAAATCAGGAAAAATTGCGAGAGATAATAGTTCAGGTGTTTTATCTTTCCAGAAAAAAACAGTGGGTCCACTAACCATCCATTTTCATTCTGTCCGCAGACCTTCAAACTGTTATTGAGGCGGTCACCACGGTATTTATTAAGGTGAGGACGTTAGTAAGGAAATTTATAATTCTCCAAATATTTATCCCTCAACTCAAGATCCTCAAAAACAGAAACCAGCCTACATTGAATGCATACTGAATGTCTAAGAACTTTTGCGAATAAATACACAGACCAATAGAATTATCACAAAACACGCACGCAAGTTATGGAACGCCAATATGGGCAGAATAAGTTGTGCATAGGTTTTACCACTTCTAGGGAAAAAAACGTTCTTTGTTCTTGATCACTGACTCTCAGACAATTACAGCCAAGGATTCAGAAAATCTCTAGGTAGTTTGTATCATCAATACAGTTCTCAATTTCAACACGTAAGTCACGTTAATCATGCGATTATCCTCAAATACTCGTCCCTCCACCAATCTCCAGTCTCTTCCGGTCTATCCAACCAATCTCCTAACCATATGTTTTGTTGAAGTAACTAAAATTTTGTGACGTGGAAGGTGAGTAAGAGTATGCTGTCATTTTGATAAATTAAACTCTCGTGAAAACTGCCAACGGCAACTAAAGGATTGTGGTTAGTTGGTGTAGCTACGCACAAAACTGACGATTATTTTGCAGTTATAATTGCCAAAAAGCTATTCCCGAACTCCACATTTGTTCTCCAAACAATCTCAGAAGTCTCACGCTAACTCACGCCAAGGAAAACTCTTCCTTCTAGCCTGAGTGAACGCCCAACACACCTGTTTATAGGAAACGTCTGGATAAAAATTTTCATTTTCCATTGTGACTTCTATTGGTTGGATAAGTTTGTTTGAAGCGTTCATTCAAAAGTGAAAAAGTAGGGGGACAGGTCGCCTACGATGAAACATAGTTGAGAAATCAGAAGACCAACAGAAGAATGGATACTACTGGGTATGTCATTAATTTTATTGGCTAGGTATCTGACTTGTCATTTTTCTCACAGAAACATGGAAGAAACTTTCAGTCTGTAGAAAACACAATTTTAACCGCAGGATGTTGAAACTGTCCCCTTGACATGTGAAACCAAAGTAACATTTATAAGTAGAATTCTTACTTCATAATTCTCGTCCCGATTAGCAGCACGAAAAAAGACGTGCCACCAGTACAAAATTACATGAGTATCCACAGTTCCGGTCTTAGGGTGATCCTTGATTGAAAAAAATCGATTGGCTTTTGAGTGAGGACCAAACTTGTGCCAATAAACTCAAAGAAATCGAAAGCAACTCATGTCTGCTATCTGCCGACGTTGTTTAGCTACATAGACCTACACATGAAAGCTTTTCCTAGGATTAAAATTTGTCTCTCATAGATTGAAAAACGACCCAGGCAGACAGTGAAATTGGCACAGCAATTTTAGTTGTACCCATTAAATTTAGTCAAATGGTACTCAACTGAAGGCTTGGTGCCTGAATTGAGTTGATAGTTAGGTTTGATGTGCAACCCTATTACATATATATACATATATATACCCATTATATATGTCATCCAGTCCAAACATTTCTGATTGTATGCTGGTTACCGACTTTGCGGCATTCAAATCCTTCTGCACCGGAAGTATGAACAGAATACTATTAAACCAGGCCAGTACTTCGATAGAGTACAAAATATCTTGGTTGTCACACTCTAACCAGTTCAGCGAAGTATTCGAGGTGCTATTCCGGCCATTGTCTTTTGTTGCTTCGTCCGATCTCACTAGACTTCGAGGCCTATATCGTGAATTACTTAAAGCAACCGTCCATAGAAGTCGAGATTTTATTCGCGGATAGATTTTGATATGTAATTTAGTATGTTATCACACTAAATGTAAAGCTCAGCAAACCTCAGAGAATGAGACTGTATACTGCTGAACATGAAAATCAGGGCGTCTTTGCAATTCCTAACAAGTTAACTGGAGATTTCGTCTTGAAATTTCACCTTACCTCCCCGTTTCCATTCTCATTTTATCTGCTTTATTGATGAGCCTATTTCAACTGTGTGAATAAATGGGCAGTAAACATTAAGATGTCACCATGTTGGGATGTCGTTTGTTCGATTTTCCTCCTCCTTATTCTGCGACACACGTTTCCTTCTAAGTAATTCATTGGCCTGAGACCTTGTCTTGATCAGGACTGCAATCAGAGCAGAAGAGATCTGATGCGTAACCAGCAAACTGAATTTGCGGGTAAGACCATTATTCCCACCGTTTAAGATTTGACCCACTGGCGCGCGTAGCCTTTACGAAGGCACATATTTAGAACCTTCCAAGCCTGGCCTGTTTGCCATATGAATGTGAGTGATTCCAAATTGCTTTCCAGTTCCACGCAACGGTAAAAACAACATTGAGTCTGATCTTCCTCATCTTACAGTCTGGGCGACATAAAAATCATATTCTTGGGTGTGTCCCGAAGCCTATTGAATTTGTCATAGCAGCCAGGGCATACACTAAGGGCGGGTTTATTTCTTGTTACTCCCAAATCCTGCTTCAACTATGTTTCCCTGGTTGGTCATTTCATAAACATGAAAATAAGTAATTGTAAACAGTGTTATATTTACTCAACATCTCATCAATGATATCCAATAATTAGGTCCCGAGAGGGTCGAGAAACTGTTGATTCCCTGATGAATACAGTGTTGTTGCAGTTGTTCCAGATGAAAGAAAAACCCTCATTTGTACGGAAGTGTTTTGGGGAGAAGCGGTGTAATAGCGTTTTGACAACAACTGACCAATCAAACACATACTTGCAGGTGTTTTATGGTGATGAATTTTGTTTACTGAACAGTGTCACTTGTTGACAGTCGCATCGGCCATAGTTCCTGATAAAGAGATTCTGAAGAACTGACAAATATCATGTCCACCCTGAAGTATTTTATACCGCCCAGAAAGCCTGCTATTTACGTGGAAATTTAGGTATTTGGTTAGGACATTGAAAGAAAAACAATGATATCTGTACGCTGGTTGTGTAAACAAACCAATAGTATACGAGTCTGTTGGCCACGATATGAATATTTTTACCTACATGTGATGACACCGGTTCTCAGATAACGCCAAAAGGATACCGTCCTTTTCAGAAATATCGCAAATTCCTCTAGTCGACATCAGAGAGTCCTGGTGCTTTCTAACGTGCTGCGTTCATACGACAAATGCGTCGCTACCCAAAGGCAGGGTGGAACGGTGTTTAGTGGCTCACACCCTACCCTGGTATCTCGGCCACTATCGTCCAGACTTGGTAAACATGACAGTATCTCAGTCTCGTACTTTCCTCGATTGGCATGGAAGCCAAAAAGTGCTTACAGCTGAACGACCATCTGTTCATTTATTTTCACTTCACACTGGCTTATATAACTGCAGAATGGAAGTGTGTCCTAATTGAATAGTCAATTTCGAGTACTGCACCGCTGGCACAGCATTTTCACACCAAAAGCACTCTATCACAATGATTATCACCATAGTTGGGCATATTCATGTCAAAGCACAAAACTCTGTATAGTAGCGAGTTTGAGGAAATTGGATACCTCTGACCTCCAGGTCATTTCAGACATGCGAACATCTGTTTGTGAGTGGGACCTAAAACTTTCCCAGTTTAAATCCCTGGTAATGCACATTTCTTTATCTTTTGGAGTGGTGTTCTGGCAAGTAAGACGATTTCGTTCCCTTGCTCACTTTGTGACTTTTCGTCTGCGTTGAACAAAATCTACCACACATCAACTTCTGTTGACCGTGGGAATCTGATTTGCGTCTTGCTGCTGTAACCAGTGGATCCACGAAAAATTTCCTCAAAACGCGCAGTGTTTCTGGGTATCATTTGGCCATCCGAACTGAGAAGAGGTGCGACATCATATGGATTCCTCCTACAGACAAACGGTTGCGAACAAATCCGAGCTGGTCTTTCGACAACCCGGCCACCAAAATCCGATGCATCATCCGTCTCCGCATACCGACGGTGAACGAGGCAACAGCAACT